TTTTTAAACAAAAATTACTGATTTTAAAATATCAAAACTATACATTATGCTTCATCGTTTTAACATGTTTTCATATTTTTTGTCTTATACCGAATTGGTAAATATAATACATAAATACATACAAGATACATTATATATTATGGGAAAATAATTGTATTCATGGGATAAAATGCAAGGTTTTGACATATGAATACTTGTAGAATGATCAAGCTAATTAACATATCCATTACCTCAAATACCTATCATTTCTCTCTTTTTTTTTTTTGGATGGAGTTTTGCTCTTGTTGCCCAGGCTGGAGTGGTGCAGTGGTGCAATCTCGGCTCACCATAACCTCCACCTCCTGAGTTCAAGCGATTCTGCTGCCTCAACATCCTGAGTAGCTGGGATTACAGGCATGCACCACCATGCCCAGCTAATTTTGCATTTTTATTAGAGACAGGGTTTCTCCATATTGGTCAGGCTGGTCTCGAACTCCTGACCTCAGGTGATCTTCCCGCCTCAGCCTTCCAAAGTGCTGGAATTACAGGTGTGAGCCACTGCACCTGGTCTCATTTCTCTTTAAAATACTCTCTGTCAGCTATCTTAAGATACACAGTATATTATTATTAGCCATAATCACCATGAACCTGTCCCCCTACCTAACTGAAATTTTGCACCTTTGACCAATGTCTCCCCTTCTGCTGTCTGTCACACGCCCCTCTCTGATTAACCATCTTCCTGCTTTATATATTTTTTGGATTCCACATGTAAGATCATGCAATATTTGTCTGTCTGTGCCTGGCTTATTTCACTTAACACAGTGTCCTCTAGGTTTATCTATGTTGTCTCAAATGACAGAATTTCCTGCTTTTTTAAGGCTGGATAGTATTGTAATATACATATATGCCACATTTTTTAATCCATCCACTGAAAAATGCTTCAGTTGTTTTCATGCCTTGGTTATTGCAAATAATGCTGCCATGATTGTGGGAATGTAGGTATTTCTTCAGCATGCAGATTTTAATTCCTTTGGCAATATAGCCAGAAATGGGGTTGCTGGATCATACCTCACAGCTTTACACCATTTAGTCATGGTGTTTTCCCAGTTCCCACAATGCATCTTGTGAGAGGGGACATTTGCCTGCCAGAGACGCTACGGTGAGCAGAGGTGAGCCTGCCTGAGTTGACACCTTCCCTCCCTGTGACACCACAGCTGCCTGTTTGATGGGGCGTGGTCTTAATGTGCTCATTATTTGTAGAGATACAGTATTGAAATTATAAAACATAGTATATAACCTGGGTTCAGGATTTCAATAAATTAATTTTTCATTTTGATCTTATCAACACTGCAGAAACTGAAAGTAAATATTCTGTTAATAGTGAACCCAATTGGCTTTGTTTTCCACCTGCATAAACAGTGGGAAAGCTGGAAAATTCTGTGTGTGTTATCCATGTAAGTCCGCAATCACACTGGGCACAACACATTGTCCTTTAAAGGTCTATTTCGATCATAAAATTTAAAAACATAACTTGTGTTACTGAGAGGCGAGACATGAAATGAGCTATCAAAGTCAGCTGCCATCACCATGAGTCAGATGAGGCCCAGCGTTGCCTCGTCAGTATACCACCACCTGCTGCGGTATAACCCAGCATCCACATTACAGTACCCAAAAAAGTATTCCAGGGGTTTGTGAAAATCAGCCGGTATTTTCCACTATTTCTACCATAGGAAGTCTTGAGTGATAACCATCATTTCAGGAAAAAGGAAAAAATTTTAAGAACATTATTAAGAACGCAAAGTATCTTATAAGTGAAATATATGCCATTGGGCTCTCTTGAGATTGGTGTACTTTCTGGTGTTTTTCATATATCGATGCCTATGCATATATGCTAAACTTGTTATAGAGAGACAACAGAAATATCCAGTTATATAAAGGGATAGATTATTTTAGGTTATGTGTATGCATATTTTTAATATTGTTTATATGTTATTTTTGAGCTATTTCATAACTATGTTTTTCATCTATAGGTATGAAATATGTATATATATGAAACCTAAAATAATCTATCCCTTTATATAACTGGGTATTTCTATTGTCTCTTTGTAACAAGTTTTAGTATATAGATACAAGCTGAAATATATTGTCTCTGTTTTAAAATTGAAGCCTCATGAAAATTTTTAATTATTTAAAAGGTAGAGAACCATATACCTGTTTGTACCATAAAAAATTGGTACCTTGTATTTGTATTACCTATTCAAAAATAAATAAATAAAATGTTTTAAATAGTAGAGGGAAATCTTAAGAATAAGGAAAAAGAAGACAATTCAGGAAACTTTGGTTTTGTTTTTACAGACTGAGTAAGAAGAGTTGCAAAGCTCTCAAGACATATGGGGGAAAAAAACCAAAAAGATCCTGTCTTTGTGATCACAGGATCCTTATAGTAGATCAAATATTTGGTCAATTCTTTAAAATACTGCAGAATGTACTTGAATTTTACTTTCTTCAGAAGTCTGAAATAGACATAAGGACCAGGAATTTTTTAATTGCCTAAAAATTTTAATTCTATATTTCCTACTTCCGTCTTACATTTCAAGAAATTTTAACAAAATAGTTTCTGGCAAACATTTTTGCTTGCAGCTGACTTCACTGCCTTCTTAAGAAGCATAATTTTGAAGGAAAGAGAGGAGGGCTTAAAAACTATCCCATTGTCATGTGGCATGAAGGGTGTAAACTTCTGGAGTTGGAATAGACATGATGATTTTTCTTCTTTTTTTTTTGAAATGGAATTTCGTTCTTGTTGCCCTGGCTAGAGTGCAAGGGTGTGATCTTGTCTCACAGCAACCTCCGCCTCTTGAGTTCAAGTGATTCTCCTGCCTCAGACTCCTGAGTAGCTGGGATTATAGGCATGCACCACCATGCCTGGCTAATTTTGTATTTTTAGTAGAGACAAGGGTTCTCCATATTGGTCAGGCTGGTCTTGAACTCCCGACCTAAGGTCATTGGCCTGCCTTAGCCTCCCAAAGTGCTGGGATTACAGGCATGAGCCACCATGCCTGGCCCACCTGATGATTTTCTAACTCAAGTCTAATTGATGTGAAAGAGGTGTCTTAACCGCTTGATAAGATTATAGACCAACTCAAGGGCAGGAACCATTAATCTGCAATTATAAAACATTAAGACAGTACACGCTTAAAAAGGCTTAACACTTTGGAAAAAAAAAAAAGCCTTAACACATAGATAGATGCTGTAAAAGCTTCTAGGAGCTGTTCATGGGTGGAGCTTTCAGACTTCATCCAAAAAATTTTCTTGACATGTTATAACCTTTGCTTAATGAGTCCTTCTGTTCATTTAACCTACCTCCTTCCCTCTTGCTGCAATTATGAACCATTTGTTCTTACTGTTCTTAAAGAAAGATATAGAATGTTTGAGCAACTTCTTCCTTATTTTAATGTCTTTGCTCTTATGATACCTATCACAGTGTTTTACTTAAATTAGCATTTGTGTGTGTGTGTGCGTGTGTGTGTGTGTGTGTGTGTGTGTCTGTGTGTGTGTGTTTTTGAGACTGAGTGTTGATCTTGTTGCCTAGGTGGAAATGCTGTGGCCTGATCTTGGCTCACTGCAACCTCCGCCTCCCAAGTTCAAGTGATTCCCTTGCCTCATCCTACCGAGTAGTTGGGATTACAGGCACCTACCACCACACCCAGCTAATTTTTTTTTTGTATTTTTAGTAGAGATGGGATTTTACCCATGTTAGCCGGATTGGTCTTAAACTCCTCACCTCAAGTGATCCGCCTGCCTCAGCCTCCCAAAGTGCTGGGATTACAGGTACCCATGCTTGGCCTTCAATTAGCCACCATGCTTGGCCTTCAATTAGCATTTAAATGGATTAATAATATAGATTTCAATGCCCTTTACTTTTTTATTATGGTTAAAGAAACATATAACATGAAACCTACCTTCTTCAATTTGTAAGAATACACTACAGTATTGTTAACTATATGCTTAATGTCATACAGCAGATGTCTAGAATGTTTTCATCTTGCATGACTGAAACTCTATACCCTTAAAAAGCAACTACCATGGGCCGGGCGCGGTGGCTCAAGCCTGTAATCCCAGCACTTTGGGAGGCCGAGGCGGGTGGATCACGAGGTCAAGAGATCGAGACCATCCTGGTCAACATGGTGAAACCCCGTCTCTACTAAAAATACAAAAAATCGGCTGGGCATCGTGGCGCGTGCCTGTAATCCCAGCTACTCAGGAGGCTGAGGCAGGAGAATTGCCTGAACCCAGGAGGCGGAGGTTGCGGTGAGCCGAGATCGCGCCATTGCACTCCAGCCTGGGTAACATGAGTGAAACTCTGTCTAAAAAAAAAAAAAAAAAAGCAACAACCATTCCTTCTCGCCCCCAATGCTGGGCAACCAGCATTCAACTTTCCGCTTCTTAGAGTATGACTAGTTTAGATACCTCTTAAGTGGGATTTTGCAGTATTTCTCCTACTGTCGTTGGCCTTTACTTTTACCTCAACTAAGTAATTTAGGTTCAGTAGAGAACACAAAATTAATAAATAATAGAACATAAAGAAAAATTAAACTGTTTTCATACTTTGTTTAAACATCAAATTGAATAATATGCTGAAAGAAATAAGGTGTGTGTTTTTACAACTCTTGCAATTTTAAACCTGTATTAATATATCTTAGAAATGAGTTTACCTTGAGCTGCACTACAATGCTAACCTCTCAAAGGTTTATAATAAGGTGGATATGGTGGCTCACACCTGTAATCCCAGCACTTTGGGAGGCCAAGGCGGGTGGATCACAAAGTCAGGAGTTCGAGACCAGCCTGACCAATATGGTAAAACCTTGTCTCTCCTAAAAATACAAAAATTAGCTGGGTGTGGTGGCAGGCACCTGTAGTTTCAGCTACTTGGGAGCCTAAGGCAGGAGAATCGCTTGAACCTGGTAGGTGGAGGGTGCAGTCAGCTGAGATCACGCCATTGCACTCCAGTTTAGGTGACAGAGCCAAGACTCCATCTCAAAAAAAAAAGCTCATAATCACCATAGTCCTCAGATCTTTCCTAAGGAATGTAACATTTTGACACAGAAGAATCCTTGCATTTTAGCTTTTAACAAAATCTCAAGCAGTCTGTTAACCAGATTACCATCGGCATCATGAGAAATGGGGATAAGGCTTTGGTGGGTGGGGCAGGATGGAGTGAGAAATGGAGTAAAACTCAATGACACCTATAGGCCATATTACTTGCTAATACAAAAAACATGTGTATTGGGACTCCCGAACTGGGGTAGCTGCCGCTGCCGGCACCTAAGAAGTGGGCTTGGGAAGGAAGCGGTCACCTCGCTCAGACCTTCGCTGGGCAGCATCTTTGTCCCTTGCCGCCCTCCCATGGAATGACAATGAATAAAAGTGAGCTGGTACAGAAAGCCAAACTCTCTGAGCAGGCTGAGAGCTATGATGATGCACCTGCAGCCATGAAGGCGATCACAGAACAGGGGCATGAACTCTCCAATGAAGAGAGAAATCTGATCTCTGTTGCCTACAAGAATGTGGTAGGCACCCGCTGCTCTTCCCAGCGTGTCATCTCCAGCATTGAGCAGAAAACAGACAGGAATAAGAAGCAGCAGCAGATGGACAAAGAGGACCGTGAGAAGATAGAGGCAGAACTGCAGGACATCTGCAATGACGTTCTGGAGCTGTTGGACAAATATCTCATTCCCAGTGCTACATAACCAGAAAGTAAGGTGTTTTACCTGAAAATGAAAGATTATTTTAGGTATCTTTCTGAAGTGGCATCTGGAGACAAACAAACCACTGTGTTGAACTCCCAGCAGGCTTACCGGGAAGCAATTAGAAATTAGAAAGAAATGCAGCCTGCACACCCAGTTCGACTTGATCCGGCACTTAATTTCTCAGTCTTTTACTATGACATTCTCAATTCTCCTGAAAAGGCCTGTGGCCTGGCAAAAATGGCATTTGGTGAACCAATTGCTAAATTGGATATACTGAATGAAGAGTCTTATTTGCACTCTCATCATGCAGTTACTTAGGGACAGTCTCACTCTGTGGACGTCGGAAAACCAGGGGAAAAAGGAGACGCTGGGAAGGGAGAGAACTAGTGTCTCTCATGCTTCGTGATCTGTTCAGTGTCACTCCGTACCCTCCCATGTGCGATTACAAATAAAAAAAAAAGAATTGTATGTTGACTTTGGATTTTTCACAGCCTCAGCCTAACAAAAATGGTTTCTGAGATAAATAGCTGTTATTTGTATCTAAAACTCAGGTTGGTCCCAAAAATGCCACAGCATTCTGAAATTTTGATTTTGATTAGCATTTGACAGGATTACTGTGTGTTTAATTTTTTTTTAACTGAACACTGTGATTATGGAGTTTTGTGATTTACAGAACTCTTTCTGGTGGGAAAAAATAGACCTGGATTATGTGTAACTTTTTGGAAAGTTTAATCTGATATCAAAATAAATCATTGAAATAGACAATTCCATTGTAAAGTTGTACAGAAAGTTACAGAGATTACATTGTGATGCTGGAACTTGGAGTGAGACACACGTCACCTGGCCAGGTTTAATGGTAATTCACAGTAAAGCTGCCTGTTGTTGACCTGTTTGGGCTGTTGCCACTCAAAAGTTCATGACCACAAATGTCCACAGTGTCTTCCTCTGAGGAAACGCGCATCCTGAAATTGAAATTATTTGAGGCAGAAAACTGGCCTATGACACCTTGGAAAGTTCAAGTGCTCATGTAACAAACCTGACTAAACCTCCTTTCCTACAGCAGTGCAGTGAGTTAGCTGTGTTACCCATTTGCAACTTGTGCTTCAATAGTGGAATCTGTTTTCATTGTTAGCACTGAGCTCAAGGAAAAAAGCCATGTGTTTTGTGAATGACCTTATCTGTTTCCTGGATGATACCTTTAAGAATCATGTTCTGAGTCAGGCATGGTGGTGCATGCATGTAGTCCCAACTACCTGGGAGGCTGGGGCAGGAGGATCCCCTGAGCCCAGGAATTTAAGGCTGCAGCCCCCTATGGTTGCACCTGAGAATAACTGCACTCTAGCCTGGGCAGCCGAGCAAGACCTCATCTCCAAAAAAAATTTAAAAAAAGAATGACGTCCTGTAGAGAGTGCCTTTCACTTGAGGAGTAATCAGTTTTCAGGTTCCTGCTAGCTCCAGGCTTTTAAATTTTGAAATCTAAACATTCTTTCCCACCGTTCTTTTTGACTACTGACTTTGGTTTTCATTTCTCTCCTAAGTTTCTGTCCCTCTGCTTCCTTACCTTTTTTCCTTCTTGAATTCTATCTTTATCTGTCTTTTGTTCACTTTTTAATGCTACATATGGGCAGGGGTGAGAGGCATTAGTGAGCACCTTGGTGAGCAAGCCTGGCTTTAAAGAGTTGAGAAGAGCTTCTGACACCAGAGCTCTGTCTTCCTCCTGTTCTCAGCACGGTGTTGCTTTTCAGTCATACCAGGATCTGAATCAAAAAGGTATTTTTGAATATCCATGATTTCTCCCTGTATTGAGGCTGGCCCTGATCATGCTTCTTAGTGCCTGTCACCAGGTCTCCCGAGTGCACTCATCCAGCTCAGGTCTAACATGTGTTTTAAGGAGACCCTATATTCAGGGAAGTTGCATGGATACTGCAGTGGAGAGAATTGAGAATAGTCAGGCCTGTTGGTCTCAACAGATCATCCCTCTACCTTTAACATTCCACCTAGCTGTAGAGTCCACCTGCTTCTCCATCTGCTGAAATTAAGAAAAGAAAAATGCATGCACTGATTGAAAACCAAAAAAAAAAAAGAAAACAACAACAAAAAAATCCCTCCTTTCTAACTGAACAAAAATGTGCAGTTAATACTTGGCGCTTGAAAATGCAGAAGTGAGTGTGGAACCAAGCCTGTCTGTATATCTGGTAGCTCTTTTCTTGCTTTTTTTCCCTACTAGTATTCTGCCCAACGTTTGCTTCTGTGACGGTTATATTGCCTAGCAAGCACACCGTGGTTGTGAAAATAGAATAGCAAAAAAGAAATATCCTCAGCTATTGATGTACTAGATTTATGTATGTCTTTTAAACAGTTCTAGTTTCACCTTACACAGTGTAAAAATTCCAAAGTGAAATAAAAATTTTATCAGTTAAAAAAATACAGATTTGACCCAATAATATGGCATCAAAAACTGTATAGTTTGATGATTCTTGGATCAATTTTGAAATGATAGATACATGAACTTTTTTCTAGAATCAAATACAACAAACTCTCCGTTTGCCTTTGGAGAGTGAGATTATTAAGGGGTATTAGTATACAAAGGGAATTAGGTTATAAAGAGAAACATTTCCACTTTATACTTCATTGTTTGTTTACTTTTGTATTTATTACTTTGATTTACATGTAAAAAATTAAAATATTGAAAGCTGTCTTCAATAGACAAAATTTTTTTTAACAACATAGCACTTTTACCTATTTTTTTTTAGCAACATAGTCACTTTTATTGACTTAATAAAAGTCAGTACTTTTTTTGTTTCAGGGCTTAAAGTGTAATATGTTTCTAAACAAATTTGCTAATTTTCATTATTGATGGTCTGAGATGTTTGCCCCTAGAAGGATGTTAGCGAAGGAGGTTTATCTTATCAAATTGTATGAGTTAGCTACTGCAACACAGTACAGCACCCCAAAATATAGTTGCTGAAAGCAGTAACCATAATTCTGTGGGTGAACTATTTGGCTTGGCCTCAGCTGGGCAGTTTTTGTGGTCTGTGCCAGGCTGTGCTGACCACAGCTGGCCTCTCCCGGTGCGGCCTCGGTCAGCTGCCAGGATGATGAGGAGTGAGTGAGTTAGTCTAGGATGGTCTCTTTGGGAAGGGCTTACATCTGCTCCATATGGTGTCTTCTTCCCACAGGCTGGCACAGCCTTGTTCACCTTGGGATTCATCAGGGTTCCAAGAGATGGAGCAGAAGCAGGCAAGGCCTCTCAAGGCTTCAGCTCCTATTTGGCCAGCAACATCCCTTTCACCACATTCTAGGTTAAAACAACTCACAAGGCCAGCCCAGATTGAAGGCATGGGGAAAGAGACTGCTGCTTGATGGAAGGAGTTACAGAGGCACATGACAAAGAGGCATGTCTGCAAAGGAAGGAATAATGGCAGCCATTATTACCAGAAAATCTACAATACACAGTCTTACACTGCCCAAAAAATATGTGAATAATCAATAGAATCACTTTGTGAGAATCTGAAATATATCACTCTTCTTAACGTTTGCCCACAAAATTGTCTTTATTTTGCTGGTACAATATAAGCAATTATTCAACTAGTAAAAGTAATCAGTACTCTAGATACAGCTTCCTTTTAATGGTAACAGCTAGCACTGGCTATGAAGCGTTTGATGTATGCCAGGCAGTGTCCTACGCATAGTATGTCATATTGCAAGAGTAGGTGGGAGCTAGGGTTTGGAGTCTGGAGCCCAGCTTGGTTTGAATCCCTATGTTAGTATTTATTAGCTATGTGACCTTGGTAATCAATTAGCTTCTGTTTTCTATCTATAAAATGGGTGAATAATAATAAACTTATAAGACAGACATAAGATTAAATTTAATCTATGTTAAGTGCTGGTAACAATACCTAGTGTATCGTAAGGGTTATGTAGCTGTCACCTATTGTTTTTGTTATCATTTCCCCTCCCTCTTCCCCTCCCCCTCTCACAATAACCCTGTGATGGTTAATTTTGTGTGTCATGCACGACTAATACAAACTCTGGGGGTAGCTTCTATTCTTGTCTCCATTTTACTGAGAACATTGAAGTTCAGGGAGACTCACCAGAGCCACAAAGTCAAGGTGTGGCAGAACCCTCATTCAAACTGTAGCAGCTGTCTCCAGTCTGGGATTTTCATGCCATACAACACTGCCATGCTGTTTAACAGTATCTTCCAGAATAACTGTCGGCAGGTCAAACATTGACAGGTTATGTTCTTTTTTCCCTGTGGTTAGCATTTCAGAGGAGCTTTATTTTCCCCCTACTTGGTTTGCAGCTGAGCAGATATAAGAGTAGCTATATGTACAGAAACAGCTCCCACATGCAATCAACTTAACTCCTACATGCAAAGTACAGGATTACACACTTGCAGACATTCTCGTTTTATTTTCACAGGTAACCCATTAGGTATATATTTCCCGATTTTATAGTTGAAGACACCGAGACTGCTCTTGTCTAACATCACAAAGAATGGGTCTGCCTCCAAAGCTTTTTCTGCTAGGCAGAATTGCTAAATTAAATGTAAAGAGATTCTATTGCAAACGGTTTATAAAGTGAATCTGTAGTAATCATTACCTGATTTGTTAGTTATGGTATGGCAGAGGGTCTCATTTCTTAGAAGTGACTTCATGGTTAAACTCTGATGAATGATTCTGTTCTCTTCACTTCCAGAGGAGATTTGCACCCTAGTTATCGCTGAGACTTTCCCTGAAGATGCAGGGATCTTTACATGTTCAGCAAGAAATGATTATGGATCAGCAACCAGCACTGCCCAGCTGGTTGTCACCTCAGGTATGTGAGGAGTAAGAAAAAATGACTAGGTTCTGTTCCTCAGCACCAGTGTGGTTGGCCAAAGCAGAAGGGGATTGTCGCGTCAGCGTGGTCACTCACGCCCTGTAATCCCAGCACTTTGGGAGGCTGAGACAGGCAGATCACTTGAGGTGAGGAGTTTGAGACCAGCCTGGCTAACCCTGTCTCTACTAAAAATGCAAAAATTAGACGAATATGGTGGCGTGTGCCTGTAATCCCAGCTACATGGGAGGCTGAGGCAGGAGAATCGCTTGAATCTAGGAGGTAGAGGTGGCAGCAAGCTGAGATCGTGCCATTGCATTCCAGCCTGGGGGACAGAGTGAGACTCCGTCTAAACAAAAAAAAAAAAAAAAAAAAAGAAAGAAAGAAAGAGACTATCCCAGGAAGAGAGCTCAGCCTTCAGGAGTGCTAGCCACTGCAGGAGTGACCCTAACAATCTATGTTTCATCATGAAACAAAGGCTCTGGGGAGGGGAGGAGAGGGAATGAGGTGGAGATGACAAACAAAAAGAGAATAATTGTGTAGCAACTGAACACAACTCTCTAAAATTGTGCCGTCTCACTGTTGGAAACGATGGAGCTGGTTTTCTAACGTCCTCCTGCTAACCTAGAATCATATTCACATCGGAAAGCCACCTCTGCATCGGAGGTGCAGTCACTTTCTCAGCAGTGCCAACACATGAGATCTGGAGATACTTGTACAGATAAGCCATTGTCCAGTCCACTATTGAAACCTCTGCAAAGGTAATACAAGATAAGCCTCCTGTGTAAAAGATAACACAAGATCAACTCAGAGAAGCTATTAAGGCCTTCAAAGTCAAATTTCATTGATAGTCTATATCAATGATAGTCTATAACTAATATGAAAAAGAAAGCAGTGTATTGTATTGTTGAAACCAGTTTTCAAAAACATATGGATATTTTCTAATCTCAAAAACTTACCACTAAGGAAGGCAATATGAAACAGCTTGCTTCTTTTTCTTTTATTTTTATTTGACTGTTTTCTACAGTTACTAATGAGGGTTAGCTTACTTTAATTGCCTCATCTCTGCCATTCATCTTAAAGATATTTTTAAAATATGTTTTTGACCAAGCCTGGCACATTATGTACAGAGTAGGGAATCAATCAATGGGTCATGAGTTGAATGATACAGACTTGGAGAGAACAACTGAATTGTACTTGGATTCCTTCAAAAGAGCAAGAACTTGGTGCTAGGTGGCAGCAGAGACACAACCAAAACTTATTTCGGGACCTTAGAGTAATTGTAAATGCTTGTTCATCTTAATGAAGAAAAGAAATGGGAGGGTCACCTTCAATAGGAAAATGGTTTCTATGAATGACTACTGTAAATGTTAAAAGAAACCTAAGGGTCAGGATAGGAGTTACAGAGCAAGGAGGACCCCAGCGTTTTGATTTTGAGTTGGCTTGAAGACTATCCCATCAAATGGCCACAGCAATAGTGCAGTGCTCAAACAACATGGCCAAAACCTTGGGCTCCATAGATCTGAGTGGCAAAATTTGTGTGTAATATTTTCCATTTGTTTATGCGGTACATCCGCTGTAGGTCAAACATGATCAACAAATATTTTATTTTTGAGCTTTTTGTTTACCTCAATAAGCATTTTTAAGTGCATGCCAGGAGCTCTTCTGTGCTCTGGGCAAGGTGCAGAATCTAAAAAAGATGTGATCTCAAGATGCTTTCAGCCTTTTGAGGGGAACAAATAAAAATCTCTTTTGCACTGAGTTATAGTTTGGGCAATCATCTAATATGGAAAAAATATTTTTATGAGATTCTGAGATTTTACTTGGACTCAGAGCTTTCCCTTCCCTAGCTTTAGATGGATATCCACTGAAAACCTTTACAGCTTGAGCCAATTTCAGTAATGACAGCTAGGATTTCAGTTGAACCCATGGACCAAAATGTGAGAGAACAAACCATTATTAGTTGATGCTGTTTGTGTTGTCATTTTTTTTTTTAACCACGTTCTATCTTTAGCTCTGGTTTGAAATTTTTAATGATTCGGTAGCTGGGTTCCCCACATGTGGGCTCAGTCAGGAAATGAAACGGTAGCACTCATTCAAAGCAAGCTGGGAAGAGCGAGGCCCTCCAGCTGGCAGTGCTTCTGCATCAGGTGAGAGCAGCAGAACCAACCTCTTCTTTAACAGCTTCACGCAGCACAGGGATTCTCGGAAGACTCTAGCAGTGTGAATTCACTTGTTGAACTAGTAGCATCTTATTATGTTTTTATTCTCTTTTCCCTTCCTTAGCCAACACTGAAAACTGTAGTTATGAGTCAATGGGAGAATCCAACAACGATCACTTCCAACACTTTCCACCTCCCCCTCCAATCTTGGAGACAAGTTCCTCTGAATTGGCTTCAAAGAAACCACCTGAGATCCAGAAGGTGAACAACCCTGAGTTAGGCCTGAGCAGGGCAGCCCTTCAAATGCAATTCAATTCTGCTGAGAGGGAATCGAACGGAGTCCATCCCAGCCACGGAGTAAATGGCCTGATTAACGGCAAAGCTAACAGTCATAAATCTCTCCCAACACCAGCTGTCCTGCTTTCACCCACTAAGGAGCCACCACCTCTGCTTGCCAAACCAAAACTGTGAGTATTTCTGAATGGTTTTATAATAATTTCCATACCCCTGTTAAATTTCCTCTCTGATGAGAAAAAAACTTTTGCCTGGACTCAACTATGTGGCAAGTTGCTGCTTGTGCAGGCAAGTTGTCCTTGACTCATGTGACCTTGCTGCCAAGCAGTGTCCTTCAAAAAGATAAAAGATACCTAAAAATACAGAAGGGAAATGAAAAGTTTGGTGAAATCTCCCCTTTGCTAAAAGCTGTAACTGTTGACGGATGTGAAAATATCTGCGTGTGGTGTGGACTTCCAACATACAGCCAAGGATGTAGCCACTCCCTGCAGGCCAGGGAAAAGGGGGATCTACTTTGAGCCCTTTATTAAAAGCATTTCCAAAAGGGAGTCTAAGTACTTCACATGTATTACTTTAAATATTAACTATCAGTAAATATTAACTATCAGTCTAAGTACTTCACATGTATTACTTTAAATATTAACTATCAGTAGACAAGCAGGGAAAAACTAAAAACTGAGCTGGAGACTCGGTGCAGATTCTGGCAGGCAGTGAAAGCGGAGGTCAGCAGGCTTGTCGGCAAGAAGAGCGCCCTTCACAACACAGGCTACTCGGCTTGGAATTCCGTGGAACTGCATATTTCCATGAATACCATCTTCACAGTGGATGTCCATTATTTTCTTAGGATGATAAACCTTGCATGAGCTGTTTCCATTGGCATCACACAGTGGAGAGCTGTTATAAATGGAGCCATTACAATGTCAGAGAGAGGCAGAAATAAATTAGCTCAAATGGTTCTATCATAGCACAACAGACCCTGAATTACTGCCCTGCCAGAGGTCAGTGGAAATATAAGAGTCATAGTGAATGTAAGTGTACGCTCTGAGGTCACATTTCCATGAGAATGTATGTGCCAGAACCTAGGAAAGCGCCCCCGCTTTTTTTTTTCAACCCATATCTGATGTTTTTGATTTGGGGCACGAAGGGACTCTTTAGGAGTATTTCTTTATCTCCCTAGCATTGAATAGCCTACTCTCTTCTCTCTGTGATCAGTTCATTTGTTAGAAATGTTAGAATTTAACAGATACTTGAAGTAGAATGACACCTTACCTTTGTACATCACTTTGTTGTTTACTAAGTGATTTCATGAACAACATTAGACTAATCAAATAACAAAAGCAGTCAAAAGAATACCTTAAGTTAACAAATAGGCAGACAATTTTATAAAACTAGACTTCTGGGCAGTCTTGTGTTGCAGTTTCAATAATCTATCTGTTGCTACCCTCTACTTAATTTTGCATTCTGTGCTGGTTCTCTTTGAAGACAGTGGGGCTACTCACTAAGTTTGTACACAATAGTGTGAAAGGTGCTGGTGAACGTTTAATATCTATGCCCCAGCTCCACTGAGAGGCCAGACAGGTAAAATGAGCTAAAAAATGGTGGCCTTAAAAGAGATTTACGCTCTTGTAGCAGCAACCCATAAAATGAATTGTCATTGCTGACTTCTTTCATTTTTGCATTTTGAATATGTATCTGCAGTGCTTTTAGTGAAACAAGGGACCTGCTTTCCAGGGAGAGAAAGGGCAAATGTGTTTAATGACTAGGACTTGACTGGGCTCTTGATTAAGTAAAGTCTATCTGCTCTAATGGCCATCACAAATTGGATGTAAATCAGAGGAGAGCAAACATGAGGAGCTGTTAAGGGACATCTACAGGCCTTCTTATCTCGGGAGTTTCAACAGCTCTGCAGCTTTCAGCGTAGATGGCAATGTAATATCCAGAGCACAGATAAAACAACTTTGTGTTTATTAAGAGGATGATCGCTTACGCACAAGTTTAAAGAGTGACACCAAGATTTGCTTATGAGTGAGATTTTTCAATATAAAATAAGATGCAGAAAAAATAGACTTCAGTGTTGGAGGCCCAAAATGGGTTACTCTCCCTTCAAAAGGTAATTTAAGGGAAAAAGCAGAACACCTAAACGCAAAACCTAACAGCATTTACTTGTGCTGAATTTTACCAGTTTTCTTTTTTTTAATTCTTCGTGTATTTAAACATACTCTTAGGGCATCACTTGATTTTTGTTTTTTGTATTGCCTATTTACCTGCCATTTAACTAGGTAGAAAATAATATGTGATGATGTTTTTTAAATATATATTTTTAAATTTTCTTATGATTTAGAATATGTTATTGGAGTTTGTTTTATTACAAAATCAATGCATGCTTGATGTGACAATTCAAACAATACAGAGGCTATTAAAGTTAATACTCTGTGCTTCCCTTCTTCTAACCCAGCCCTCTGAAAGGTGTGATATGGTATGGGGTACTATCAGAGCCTTTTCTGAAACAGTTTCATTCAGGGTTTTCAAAGTTGTATTATTGATAGAGAAATGCTGTTGAATGACATCTACAAATAATTTACAACAGTACCTGAGTTATTGATTGTGAATGACTGTAGGTAACTACTAAGCAAAATCCTTACGCATCCATTTTTTTCTTTTCATACATTGGGGGAAAAGATGAGATTTTATTTGCCTCTGATGGTCAGCAGTGAGAAACTGTCGTTTGCTCCAATCTTCTTTTCCTTAGCCTGTGATTTGATTTTCTTTCCCAAAAGGAAAGGCTTAGATTTGGCAGCATTATGGCATTTGTGCATCTTCATCATTTTAAACAAACTAATAGGGAACAAGTAGGAGGACATAAATCATAGGAACTAAAATATTTACTCTCACAATGAATGAATCTGAAAATGACGTTTGGTTTGTCAGGTGTCAGCGGGGAAAAGATCATTTTCAAAAAAAAAAAAAAATCTCTTCATTTTTTTCTTTCTTGAATAGCTCTAGTACTGATTGTGGGAAAAGGAAAAAATAAATGAAACAAAAACCTAGAAATGTCATGAACTCTTTTCTCTAACTAGGCCCAGCCCCCATCCTATATTATCCAACAGAAGTTCTCCCCAATAGATCGTCAGCCATCTCAGACCTCCAGCTGAGTCCATGGCACCTCTCAGAAAGTGGGATTTCCTGGCTTAGTATGGTGGAGGCATCCACTTCAGCACCTACATCACCCAATGTCTTTGTTTCCAACACTCTCTCTCAAGTATAAGCGGAAGATAATTAAATGTAGGCCATTTGGTGAGTGCCAGATGTCCTGCACGCTGGATTTGTACAAGCCTTACCACCCGCTGTGGGACTGCGAAGTGTAAACGCTGCACAAGAAAAAATTAATAGAGTTATTTCTGCAACTCAGTGGCTGACACTCATAATCTTCGATCACAGTACAAAAGAAGCAACACAATGCTTAAGTCATAGTATTTACAGGAGAAAAAAAAGGAGAGAATGAGTGTAAACCTAACTTACCCACTGTCATATTCTTTTCCTTGGTTCCTTGCTGCCCTCTCTCTACAAATGATGCCTTGAAGATTCAAAATAAAGGTAGGGCTCGCTGCGAAAAATCTCTGCTTCTCTTTATTTTTACCAAATAACAGTCCTTGAAAAGCATGGACATGCCTGGAATCCCTAGGAATAAGCTCTAGAGGGATACCTGTGGATGCCAACATTTGGTAGGCGATTTGCCAAGCATGTAGAAAAGCATGGTCATGTCACCTCCTGCAGCAGACCAAACAATATATAAATAACAGTAGGCTATTTTCAAACCACCTTTATTACTTCCTTTTTTATCTCCTTCCTTTGTCTTGTGGGAGAAAGGAGGGACTTGAAACATGCAGAAGGGCAAAATGGCAAATCCAAAGGGAGATGACTGAAGGGTGATGTCACTCCTGCCCCAGGACAGATCAGAGGATAAAATTATCCTTATTTGTTACTCTAGAGCCAAAATTATATGCATTGCTGTAAAAGCCTGTGTACTTTTGCCTGGGAGAATAATAATGAAATGACGTTTAGGTGTTTACATGTTAAATCAATAGCTCTCCTTGCTCCTATTCTTACTACTTTCTCTTACCCCAGTCTCTAAAGAAACAGTATTATGATTTTCTGTCTCAAGAGAGTAAAACAATTTCAGGCTGATCAACCTTTTCAAAATTACTGCATATTACACCCTTTGCTTTTTTCTTTCTCCTTTCTCTCATTTCCACCCTTAGATAGCCTATGGTTCTGCAAATCCTGTCTCGAGAGAAAGGCATATCCTAGAAACTCATTCATATTAAGGTGTCAGGGATTTGTATCATCACCTCAGTTCAGTTCTAGGCTAACAAAGTAAAGTACATCTGAATAAGCAATAATAAGCACTGCAGAAAATCAGGAAACTATCATTTCATGAAATGGTGTGTTTGAGAGACAGAGGAGAAGAAATTAGCAGCCTTTATCATTCTCTTATTAGTGACTTCACTGTGTCATGTTTTCTATATTTGGAGGTTCCTTATGGGTTTCCTCCACACTCCTAGACACAAATTGAAGTACAAGTTGTTCCCTTGCCTGGAATGTTCTGCTCCCTGGAATGTTCTGCCTCTAATGTCTGGCTCTTACTTGTCTTTCAAATCTCAGCTTAATGTCACCACTTCCCTGACCACCCAGTCTAAAGCAGCCACCAGCCATGTTCCAGTAACTCATCCTCATTAATTACCACAGAGCACATAATTATTTCCGACGGTTACTTGCTTTTTGTTTTTTTAATTGCTCCCCGCCTTAGCTTTCTGAGAATGGGAACCCTGTCTTATTTCATTCTTCTTTCACTAGGACCTAGCACAGGCCTGACAAATAGTAGATGCTGAACAATATTGTTTGAATGAATGAAGCAAAAGCAGAACAAAAGAAAAATCTCCCACCTTTAGAGCAACCCCCATTTGATCTGCCACCTAACATTCTTTTTTTTTGAGACAGAGTTTCCCTGTCACCCAGGCTGGAGTGCAGTGGCATGATCTCGGCTCACTGCAACCTTCGGCTCCTGGGTTCAAGTGATTCTCCTACCTCAGCCTCCTGACTAGCTAAAATTACAGGTGTACGCCACTGTGCCTGGCTAATTTTGCTATTTTTAGTAGAGACAGAGTTTTACCAT